AGTCAAGTCTATGATCGATCCTGCCAAATCTGTGATCAATCCTGTAACCTGTGATCGATCATGATGAAGATAAGATCAAACGCAACCACCAAGCCTACGATCGATCCTGTGCACGTTGCAATCAATCCTAACACTGTGCGATCGATCGCAACTTATGCTAAGCAGTTTTTAAAAGACTCGTTGAGGCTAGAATTTCAAGAACCCAAGGGCTGCGGGATTGCATCATTTGATGGGACAAGTCTGACTAATTTAGAAATGGCAGAAAATGGCATACTTCAGGTAGTTTTCTTTAAACACTTTGTGTGGAAAGTGTTTTGGTGCTTCTTAAGTGATAAAGAGCTTGATGTTTGTGGGTATCATTTTTGGAAATCCTCACAAGACTTCACTCGTCCTCTAGGGGTAACCTAGAGGTTCAAAAGGCTTGTTGCATATGCTAAATGCAACCGTGATCCCTACGAAAATGGTGTTATCCATTTATTGCTTTATAGTTTGTAGTTATATAGTTGTTTCTTTCCTTTTTACTTTGTAGTTCATTACTAAAGAACTAGCAATATCTAAGTTTGGGGGTGTTATAAGTGTTAAAAAATGCATATTTCAACCCTATTCTTAGGTATATTAAATCCTTCATCTATTCTTACTTTCCCGTTTTTGTTCTAAATTGTGTTATTGTTGATTTCAGGTCAATAAGGTTCAAATGGGCTAAATTCGGTTCATTAAAGTCTTTTTCGAGTCAAGCAAATGTGGCGAGAAAAAGTTCCAAAAATTATGCCACGATCGATCCTACCTGTTCCATGATTGATCCTAACTTTCCACAATCGATCCTAAAGTGGATAAGCCTAGTTAGTAAAAAGTCAAGTCTATGATCGATCCTGCCAAATCTGTGATCAATCCTGTAACCTGTGATCGATCCTGATGAAGATAAGATCAAACCCAACCACCAAGCCTACGATCGATCCTGTGCACGTTGCAATCAATCCTAACACTGTGCGATCGATCGCAACTTATGCTAAGCAGTTTTTAAAAGACTCGTTGAGGCTCGAATTTCAAGAACCCAAGGGCTGCGGGATTGCATCATTTGATGGGACAAGTCTGACTAATTTAGAAATGGCTGAAAATGGCATACTTAAGGTAGTTTTCTTTAAACCCTTTGTGTGGAATGTGTTTTGGTGCTTCTTAAGTGATAAAGAGCTTGATGTTTGTGGGTATCATTTTTGGAAACCCTCACAAGACTTCACTCCTCCTCTAGGGGTAACCTAGAGGTTCAAAAGGCTTGTTGCATATGCTAAATGCAACCGTGATCCCTACGAAAATGGTGTTATCCATTTATTGCTTTATAGTTTGTAGTTGTATAGTTGTTTCTTTCCTTTTTACTTTGTAGTTCATTGCTAAAGAACTAGCAATATCTAAGTTTGGGGGTGTGATAAGTGTTAAAAAATGCATATTTCAACCCTATTCTTAGGTATATTTGTCCCTTTATCTATTCTTACTTTCCCGTTTTAGTTCTAAATTGTGTTATTGTTGATTTCAGGTCAATAAGGTTCAAATGGGCTAAATTCGGTTCATTAAAGTCTTTTTCGAGTCAAGCAAATGTGGCGAGAAAAAGTTCCAAAAATAGTGCCACGATCGATCCTACCTGTTCCTTGGTTGATCCTACCTTTCCACAATCGATCCTAAAGTGGATAAGCCTAGTCAGTAAAAAGTCAAGTCTATGATCGATCCTGCCAAATCTGTGATCAATCCTGTAACCTGTGATCGATCCTGATGAAGATAAGATCAAACGCAACCACCAAGCCTACGATCGATCCTGTGCACTTTACAATCAATCCTAACACTGTGCGATCGATCGCAACTTATGCTAAGCAATTTTTAAAAGACTCGTTGAGGCTCGAATTTCAAGAACCCAAGGGCTGCGGGATTGCATCATTTGATGGGACAGTCTGACTTATTTTGACTTCCAAGGGACTATAAAAGGGGGATTGAACCATCTTTACAAGGGTTAGCAAGTTAGAGATAGAATTAAAGATTGTTAGACATTCTAGGAGAGCACGGAAGAATTTGTAGATCTACTCTTTCTCTTTAGGGTTTTAACCAATGAAGAAGAAAATGATGAATCCAAGCTTAAAGATTGACCTTGAGGACACCTTAATGATTTCTACCTTCTCCATGAGTGGCTAGTCCTTCACTTAGGGCTTGGATGAGCTCTAATCTTGTGTAACTAAACTCTTGTTCTTCAATTTTTGGGGATTTATATGTTGTAATTTGTGTTATAGTCTTGTGTAACCAAAACTTGGTTGTACCAAGGTTTTTATGGATAATTCTTCCCATTGATTCTCTATGTTGGTTGCATGTTGTCTTATGTGTAATTAATTGAGGGTTAGTCTTTACACTAAATGCTCTTTGTAATTTTGTAATTGATGGCTAGGCATAGTTCTTATGGGATACAATTGTTAATTAGTTTGATGGATTATGCTTAGGCTTGATGAATTACACTACACCATTAGGTTAATTGTAGTTAGGTAAACAATTCATGTTTGAATTTGATAGTCCATGCTTATTATTGCAATTTGTATCATCCTCTTGATTGATGTGTTCTTGTAGCCACATTTTGATTACAATATATTTTTTCCCCATTAGTTGAAGGCAAGTGGTTTAATGCATGAGCTTAGTGGTGATTCTTATACCCTAAGACTCCTTTCCTATCTTTAAACCCTACTCATTTTAGCATTCATTTCCATTGCATGTTTCATTAAGTGAACATTAAATTAATCAACCAAATAAACTTCTTTTCAATCTCATGTTCACTAAGTCAAGTTAGATTCCAATCACGTGTTTAATCCCTGAGGACGATCCCTTCTCACTATACTTAAAATATTCGTGTTAATTGGCTTTTATAAATGTAAAAGTTAATGCCCATTTGACGTTGCAAATATAACACATTTTTGTGTACACACCAAAGTCGCATCAATGTGCATATTTCAGCACTTATCAATGTGTTTACGGATAGACGTGTTATGTGTTTCATCATTTAGGATGATTATGTGCTCTCATCGAGTGAGTTAGCACGGAGTAGTGAGCACTTGGAGATGATTAATTGACTTACATATATATTAATCATCTTCTATAGTACTCAAAGTGTCTTAAAATCTAAACGAATTAGTGGGGTATGAGAGAGGCACGAGAGCCTCTCATTTTGGATTTCATGGATTGTTATATGCATTTAAAAAATAATAAATAAATAACATGTTAGTTGTTATATTTATATGCTATTTTCCTAGCATGATTTGATTTAAAGCAAATGAGCTTGACATTTGATCGTATGCTAGAGTTGGATATGCATATGCATGATTATTATTACATGTTTGGCATGACATGTTTATGGCGGTAGTGCTTTATGATTCATATATGAGATTGATGGTGCTGGACTCTCAGAATCGGGAGGGATTTGATGATTTCGAGCTAGGGCAAAGTATTGGCTTCTTAGACTCGGTTGTTTGTTGGGACTAATTTTTTAGTTATTGCGGTTTTGTGGGTGGGAATGCGTGGGTGGGTGTATGGCACTGGCATGCTACCGTACTGGCTAGCTACAGGCGCGATTCAAATGGAATCGGTGTTGGCATTTCCTTTTGGTAGGTGTAATCCTTGTGATCAATGATAATTATGATGTGAGTGTTTGGAGTTATCAGAGGCGTAGAGTCTCTTGAGATTTATTTTGGGCATCCTATGTTGTGAAGGTGATTGATGGTGGCTTTTGAGTTCGGTTGTAGATATTGATCAGAGTACTTGGTGACGTGGCTATGGTTCGACATTTCTTTTGAGTTTCATTAACATGGCGTCACTACGTAGAGTTATAGTTGTTATTGAGTTGGTTGATTGATGTGTCGGATGGTAAGAGCATTGCATATGCTAGTATCAATCTGTAGTGTTACCGTAAGGTTTAGAGGTAGATTGTTTGGGTCTTACCATAGAGGTAAGGACTCACGTTTAGAGACCGAGATTGGGTTGAGGTGTTTCATTGACCATGTGATTTTGGGAGTTCGAATCATTTTAGGGCTGATCTTTTGCCTTTGACACGTTAGGACACGATGTCCATAAGGTGCATCTATTGTATTCTTTCTTTCAGTTTCATTTATTACCATGTCAGTAGTTATATTTAAAATATCATGATGCAAGATGCATGTGCGCGGATGTGCGTCCACATTTATTTTTGTCATCGTCTATATGAGTAGGTAGGTTTCTATGGGACTTGCATTCCCTTGAGTTGCTATATTGGTTGTTGCACTTTGATAGCATGATATTATGCCTATGTGGAAACATGTTTGCCCTTATTACTGATGTCTGTATAAGTAGGTAGAATTTTTTTTATGGCATTTGCATTCCTTACTTGTATGGATTGAGTTGGCATGTTTAGTATTGTGAGTATTTCATTTTTCATATATATGACATATATATGCGGGGTTTCATTTCGGGTCAATATATGAGAGCATGAGTAGGGAATCATGTTTATTTTATTTACACATTATGTGCATGCAGGGTTTCATCATGGGTTGCATTGTGGAATTCCAAGTGAGAGAGTTGTCACTCTTGTGTTGTTGTTATGGTTGTTTACCTCCCAAGCCATCTAGCTAGAGCCTTAATATCGAACTAAACCACATTTTGTAAATACCGATTTGTGCAGTTTGTCACTAAGGTGAACACTAATTTTGGAATATAAACTAATTTGAATTGAGAGAATTATTTTGAGTCAGCTAAGGTGAATACTGATTTTGGAATATAATGCTCCATTAGAGACTCCTAAGCAGGCTCGCGCAGAATTAATGATGATGTGTGATCCACCACTGACACATTTCCCAATCACATAGTGGTGTGTTTATCAACAAGCCGATTTCGGTTCGAAAACAATTTTTTTTTTTTTTTTTTTACCAGTTATAACTTGTTTCAATTTTTTGAATGTGCACTTGAATTTGAATGCTCTCAATTTCTAGACATAGAAAACCTAAATGTAGTCAAAAATATGGTGAAGTCTCTTAATTTAACTTCTTACACAGAATGCTGCAATATGAACTTGTTACTATGCCATTGATAGCTCTTAAAGCCTTTTAATACTTACTTCTACATACATGGTTAATCTACCACATATAAGCTACAACACTGCAATATTACATGGCACGAGAAAACTTAGTGTGGTACCAACCAGTTACCTGAATTCCATAGCATAAGATTCAGAACCTCTAAGGAATGATCGACGCCACCAAATCTGGAAGGCTTTACTAAGATTAGGGCATTCAGTACCACGCTTGGAGAAACAACGGAACCATTCCATAAAAAGAACGTATTGCTGCTTCAAATGAAGAGTAAGGAGTGCCTGGCCCATGGCTTCCTCCAGTGCCCTCGTGTCTAGCCCCTTTCTGCACCTTCGTAACCAACCAAAGTCCAATAGCATTGGTTTAAACCAGGCCTGGAGTAGCCCCAATCTTGCTTCTGATCGGCAATGCAAATTTCTGGTCCCCATTGCAATAAACAACATAGCTGACACCCGGCTGACCTCATACCTAACCATTGGAGAAGAACTCTCGTGCATGCTGCGCAACTCACCTTGATCTACCCACATGTCCACAAACTCCTCGGCCATTTGCCGATCAAGCAGGATTTCTAGCAGCCAGTTAATATTATCGACCTGCCTTGAGATGCGTTCAATTAAAGGTTTACCCTCCTCTTCCTTTGAAACGTTTCCATTCGGATTTGTGCCAGAAGCCTCTGCAAACAGTCTGCCCAGTGAATCAAGACAAGACTGGCAAACAACATACAGATCCTCTTTGTTAAGGTCGGGATAGTCCTTCTCATAGACTGAGCTTTTGCACAGGAGACCCTTGACCAAGGACTTGAGCTCATTCCTTGTGTTGGCGTCCACACAAGTGGTGATAGACCAAATCAGCTGTCTAGCTAAATTTTGTTGGGAATCTACTGACCCCAGGGAATAGAGTCTGGCCAAGATATCTCCAGTTGTTGTATCATCAAACTGGAACCGATTAAACAGATTCCTGAGTTTCTCTTCTTCTTCCTCACTCCAAGGAACTGCCTCAAGGTATTTTAAACAGGACAAAATGCCTTTTATGAACTTGATGCCTGCTGATACCTGACATTGATTTAGATTAATAAATAAGCTAGTGTTCATATTTTTAAAAAATTTAATAATAATAAAAAATAAACTCTTAATAGCTGGGTAAAAGGACAAATTGAAAGGTACATAATTGAAGCTCAATAAACATAAGTTTCTCCAAGTATGAGAGCACCATAAAGTCATAAACAAAGAACTCTGGTGTTAGTTTCCTCAAATAGTAAAAGCGCTTTGCCAATCTTTTTCTGTCCTATTTTGGCGTAGAAGATTAACAAACTTAAGTTTTAAAACATAACTAAATACTACATTTCTTCTTGCATCTGTCGAGACGAAATTTTTGAGAATCTACCGTCAATGCTGCTATAGGAGGCACATATGGTTCCAACTGTCATACCAGCATTCTAAATTCCCAAGTATTTATTCCACACGAGACTTAAGAAACAAACATAATTGACCTATTTTGCATAAAATATATTCCAATATAAAATATAAAAACAGAAAAAGTTACGCTGAATAGCTATTAAGTAGCCACAACTTCTTACTCAGGGAAATGTGGAGAATCATTCTTGATGACATATGCATCTCGCAACATCGTAACATGTAGACATTTCAATACCATTTCCAGGATCTAATTGTTTAACTCCACGGACTCTATGGTTGAAACAGACCCAAAGCATTAACACCCAATGGGCCAGTGGCCTAGCAGTATCAGCCTCTTACTTCCCAAAAGAAGGTCAGGAGTTCAAGTCTCAGAAGAGACGTGTGTGTGAGTACCAACTAGGAAAAAAAAATATATATATATATATATATATATATATATATATATATATAAAGGTTCTTTGTATAACTATGCTGATTGAGCAATATTTAAGTAGAAAAAGCACTGCTAAGAATGTAATGCACTGCATACTGCACAAAGTAATATTTGTATGCCACGTACAGGGAATATGATGTATTAAAGGCGTTGGCTCATCTAGGTAACAGAAGTAATACAAGCTTGTTTCAAATGCCCAAGTGTTTTTTTCATAACCTACATATGAGAATAGTAAGGAAGATCAGCTCTAAAATGCACAAGTTTCCATTGAATTGAAAAGAGACGAAGCTTGTGCAGCCAATCACAAAAGTTTTAAAGACATTTAACAGATCAAAGACGAAGAAAGGTTTCAGTGAATGCCTTGGGTTGCTAATGAGGTATGTTTGTCAGGGTTGCTTTTCTTTTCAATTTGTTGTTTTCTCATTTGTACCGCACATGTACTTGGGTTCAGGCCATTGCACCTTTTGATGCCTATATATTAATTAAAAAGGAAGCCACGAGTCTTAACAAAAGCTTTCATTAAATTACAGAATAAGAAAGTTTGGTAACCAATCAAGGAAGTTAATATGAATAGTGGCATGATTAACAAGAGGAGAGCAGAGGCAGAGAAAACTTCACAGAATAATCCCTGTATTATGTGGGTTTTCTTGTATTGTTCTTTTACAGGATTCTTGGGTGTCATTGCCTCAATATATTACAAGAACTTCTCAATTATATTAGAATTCATCTGTCGACTTTTTACATTGTCTAGCACAAGGAAGAGAATTTCAGCGCATAGTTAAACTTAATAATTTTGAAGGGTCATATATAATTTAGATCGCACAACACATACTCTATATATAGCTTGGTAATGAGTTCAATGTTAAATTGGGTTAGACAAGGTTACTCCAGGATGATAATGCATGCACAGCAGTAAGCATGCTCAAATCTATCTTCAGTTTACATTTCACAGTTTTTCATGGATATTACCAAAAAAGTAAATCTATCATGATGGCGCTCCCACCATGAACTCACATCTAAGACATTGGATCGAAAATGCACGTGTACAGCCCCTCAATCCAACAACTGAGAGCACGAGCTCACACGAGAGCATCCTCATGATATATATATATATATATATATATATATATTTCATAAACAAAACACAAACACAATAGCATAGATAATCTAAAGGAAGGTGGAACAGAGAATCTACCCTACTTATTGAGAAAATGTCATATCACAATCTCCAAGGTGTTGAATGGATATTAACCAAATCTTTACTCAATCAGACTAGTGCTCACAATTCTAAAGTAGTTAGCACTCATCAGATAGAATCTGAGCCCACAATTTGCTTCCAACTCAAGTTACAAACTTTCATCTCAAACAGTTACATTATAAAAGTACCCAAAACCACTATCCGGATGGCAACAATAAAGGCATGCATGACATAGTGACGTACCAAATTTGAGTGTTCTATACAAAAATTAGAATATATCAGGCCACACTAAACTAGTTATACAAAAATATCAGAGAAGTATCGCAGGTCAGCAAATAGCAAAGGTGAACATGCCTAGGTGAATTCATCTGGACATTTAGCTATCTCAAATTCATGACTTCTTTCAACTTTTGCCCAAGTTATGTCATTATTTTAATGATAAAGATGCTAAGTTAAATGTACCATTATTCAGTAAAAAAAGAGTTGAACAAAAGGGAATAGAATTAAACACGAAGACCTTTCACAAAGGAAGCTTTTCAAAAAGCACTTTGATAGTAGTTGTATGGAATAGGCACTGATATATTCTATCACCCTATGTCTTTTTGATCTCTATATCATGGATTGTAATATGCTTTTGAATAGCACTTGACAGGATATTACCATTACTAAAAACGAAAAATGTAATAGGCACCTTTTATAATAATTTCAAGGAGCAGCGTAATGTTGAATATGAATGGTAAGTTTCACCAAGCTAGATTTGTAAGATCTTCAGCTCCTTCCCAATCAACTGAAAAATCTTATTCTCTCTTGTCAGGCTAGCTATACCAAGTTTTGAATCATAACAAACAAAAAAAAAAAAAAAAAAGTTAAATATGGTTTAGTAGTTTACTAAAACCAACATAAGTATGTTTATTGTCGTTGTTATTGTTTCAGAGGCATGTGAAGGAAGAGGTTACCGATTTTGAGTTCAATTTGAGAGTGCAAAAGCAATTCAGCAACATTCAGTTTTATATAAGAATTTCTCTGACTCAACAAAGAATCTCCTGCCAAGAAAATAACTGCTCATTGACATGAGATAGTGTTCAAAAGTAATCTGGGTGCGGGAGACAATTGTGGACAACAAGGATTTCACTTTATAGCAGTTCCCTATGAATATACATAAATATATAAATGCTCTATCTCAAAGAAACATTCTAAAGAAAGTTCAGCTATGTAATAGAAAGTTTTCCCCTCCCTGATGAGAAAGCATTCATCATCTATTTCATATCTCAAAATATTTCAATCAGTACACACAAAAAATAGGCAATAAATTTTTCCCTCGTATTAGAGCGAGTGCTTCGGGTGGGGCACGCATGCTAGAAGTCTGAGCTTGACGCAAATGGGTAAAATTTCTTCTGCTTTATATGATTATCAATTATTCTCTGTGTCAATCCTTACATCTACTATAACTTGTCAGGTAATAGATAGTTTTGGTATGTAGAGGGACTTTTGAGGTTAGGTCTTTCTAGTCCAGTTTGATGGAGTCTTTTGGCCACTCTTTCCCTTGGAAAGCTATCTGGAGGAGGAAAGCTCCTTTGAAAGTGGCTTTCTTTTTGTGGACTGCTGCCTTGGGAAGCATCCTTACTATCAACAACCTTAGAAGGAGACGTCACATTGCGGTCAACCGGTGCTACATGTGTAAGAAGTCGGGTGAATCTGTGAACCACCTTCTCCTTCATTGTTCGGTGGCGAGGGATGTTTGGTCTATGTTTTTGGAGGCTTTTGGTCTTCCATGGGTTTTTCCATTTTCCACGATGGACGTGCTAGAGACTTGGAAAGGGTGTATAGTGGAGAGCCGAGTTAGAGATGCTTGGAGGGCTACTCCCCTTTGTATTTGGTGGGGCCTGTGGCGTGAGAGGAATAGGAGATCCTTTGAGGGAAAGGAGTCTCCTATTTGGTCTCTTAAATACATTATTCCATCTTCCTTATTCTTTTGGGTCAATGGGCGGGATTGTAACTCTATGGATAGTCTAAAGTTATACTGTAGTCCTGGACAGCTTTTGTTTCCTTGGGAGCACTCCCCATTTGAGCGCCTTTTATGATATTGGTCTTACTTATCAAAAATAATAATAATCAAAAAAAAAAAGTTTTGGTATGTCGAGGGAAATCACTATAGTCAAACCCAATGCTTACATAATAAAATAGTACCAAAGGTTTACAAGCCGCATGATATTTATTCTTGAGGACTTATCAGGTCTTCAAAAGAAATTGTAATTTAACGTAGCAAATCTTTACAAATGCATCAACAAACAAGATAAAGACTCTTCGACATGTACAACAAAGAGTCTTATAACTTCTCTTTTTATAAATATTTTCAATTCATTTCTGTTCTGAAGTGCATAAGAATCATCTTCACTTGGGACTTTAACACAACACTTTTCCTCAGATTCCAACACCCAAATCATCCTCTTCTCTTCATGTTCTTCATGTTTTCCTATACTAATAGGAACAATGAAAAAGGGAATTTTATATAGGGATCAGCAAAAGTACCATTCATGGACATTGGCATAATGGACCTTGACTGATCCATGGGCACAAGTTGCAGCAAAACTCTCTTTAAAAATAAATTCACATTGGAAGCAGAATTGGCTGTTCCACGAAATGCATAGAACACAGTTTCTCTGCTGTCCCAAATCAGAAATGTCGCTTAACCGCATGTATAATATTGCTCCTACCATTGGCAGATAGGATGGGAGGCCAAAACCTTTGCATGATTATCACCCATGCAAAAAGCCTCTTCTATTGTCCTTAATTGTGCTTCTGCCATGTCTAGTGTCTTATCTCTACATAGTTGGTCCCAAGCTCGTAAAACTTTTGCCAAGACCAATTTGAAATAAATCCTAAGAATTTTTTTTTTTTTTTTTTGTTTTTTTTGATAAGTAGCATAAATCCTAAGAATATACAAGTAAATACTAGGGTGTTTCCTTAAGCGACCTGTTGCATAAGCTTTTGGATGCTTCAAAAAAT